TGGATCTGTGAGGATCAGGATCAGCCTTCCCTGACAGTCACTCTCCAGATGTGTTGGATGACCCTTGTCATGCTTGGCCAGTGGAAATTGTGGGGACTGTAGTCCAATATATTTGGAGGACTCTGACATTGCAGAGCATGGTTTCAAACTGGAGAATGTCATGGCTTAAAAACAAAAGAAACAGTTGATCTGTTTCCCAAATCAAGTACAGTCATCCCTCCTGATTTGTGGGGGATCCGTTCCAGACACACACACCCCACAAATTGGAAAAACTGCAAACATCCAAGTCCCAACTCCTGTGCACGGCCCCGCATGAATGCCATGGGTGCATGTGCCATTTTGTCCCTCCTGGCTTCCCATCTGCGGAAATTCAAGACTGCGAATGGGAAATCTGTGAACTAGGAGGGATGACTGTAATATTTTTTGAGCCCTGGATGTGATAGAAATCATTCAGACATGGTGAGACCCAAATTGTACGGTGTTTCTAGAACGCATAACCATGGCCCTCCTTTTTACTCATTACTGAGTGTACTCTGATCAGAACATTGCTAGATCTGAACTCTGCACCCTGACATGGAGGCTACCATTTGCTGTTATACCCTCAGGCAGCAAAATGTCTTGGGCTGGTCTTGGCCAACAAAGTGAATAGCCACTAAATAGTCTCCACCATGCATATGTGGTTTTAAAGCCATCTGAGTTAACAGGTTAATAGTTCTACTATTATGAGAGAAGGAGAGGGAGGGAAATATTTCCAGCATCCTATAGGTTGGTATCTTATGCAAGAAGAAGTTCCCTTACAGTAGTGGTTGGAGATTTTTGTCCAATGCAGAACAGCTGTATTCAGGTTGCCGGAATGCAGTTGCACATCTGTTGCCATCGCATATGGATGCACATTGTACATTGATGTGCACTATGCATTTCACACACTGGTATGCATGCACATTTGGCATTGCAATTCATTCATGCGGTGGCGTCGGAAAATGCGATGAGTGTGAAGTTAACACTCTGTCGCCTTGATGCAGGGTTACACCTATTTCTATTCATACTCTCTACTTCATACACAGTCTTACAAGTCTCTGTCATTCCTCCATCCTCTGTTTTTCACAGCTGGCACCACCATTCCTGGCCCTTTTAGGAAAGGAAATCCCATCCCTTATTCATTTTGGAGACTCTTTTTTGCACTTTATCCGGCTGTAAGAAATCCGGTCCTGTGATGGCTGCAAAGTCCTTTTTGAAACAGGTAGATTCTAACTGTCCATAATGAAATCACCTACCAGCTTCTTTTGGGGGAAGAATGGAAAGACAGTGGTTAAGAGGATCTCGCTTCTGTTTATCAGTTTCAAAGAGAAGACATCTCTTCATGAACACTAAAGCTCCCTATCACTTTGGAAAAGTTTACAGGGCAAAAAACATATGAGCCAAGGTTGAACTGGCATTGCTAAAGCTAGCTAAACCCCTACAATCACATCCAAAATTTACAAAATAGCGATACCTTTATGGGGCCAACCAAAAAGCACAAGACAAATGCTGCAAGCTTTCGAAGCACCACTGGCTTCTTCATCAGGCAAAGTGTTTAAACTTAAACACCTTTGCCTTGTAAAAAAGCCAGTAGAGTTTGGAAAGCTGGCAACTAGTATTTTGTGCATTTTGGATGGCCCATTAAAGATGTCACTGTTTTGTAGATTTGGGATGTTGGTTGTATTGTGCAATATGGCCAGCATGGCTATTCCTGGATATGTAAGCCCCTATAGTTTGTAAACTACTGGTGTGCAAGGCTGGCCCTTCCGTTAGGCAGAGTGAAGCAGCTGCCTCAGACAACAGATTTTGGATGTCATGAAAAGGCAGCAAATTGTTCATTATAGGTTTTGCTATTGGGTTTTTACTGTCAAGGAGGGGAGACGTGTTTGTGGGTTTTTCTGCCTTTTGTGCCTGACTAGTTCAGCTGTCTTGGGGAGAACTAATGCTCCTTGTCCAATTGTGCAATGGTGATGAGTTTCCATTTTGCAGCCTCAGGCGGCAAAATACCTTGTGCCACCCTGTCGAAGTAAGAAGTGGTCCCTTCATGGGGGCATTATATCATCATGGTAAGGACTTTTCCCCCTGTGATCATTTTGTTTGGTGTGGCAAATTCAGCTGCAGAAACGTAGAGGTCAACTCTCAATCTTATCAGATATCTGTCGGATCCCAGCAGCCGCAATGGGTTCATAAACACTTTTTGGGGATGGGGGCGAGAGCTTGTGACACCGTCTTCCATTTTCTGGGGGGAAACAGTAAGCATCGGGTATTTGATATCATACTGTTTGTGGAAACAGAAGCTCCCTGTTTGGGCCACGATGCTCTTCATCCTTCTGCCAAAGCTCTTCTCTTAAAGAGGACAAGAAGTAACCGGTTTTCTCATATTGAAATTCTGCATTGAAAGTGCAAAACACACCGTCAAAGTGCCATAAAGACGCTCTTTATGTACAGTTCTTGTTTTTCATGCCACCACCCCCTTCTTGCTAATGTTAGCCTGGGATCACATTTCAATTAAAAACAACAAGGATGCCATCTCTCCCCCAGCGAGCTTTTATCTGTGTTGTGCTTGCATGGATTCAATTGGTTTAATTTTTCCAAACACTACTTGCAGTAGGAAAAGGAGAATAGTGTGTGGGTGTGTGTGGGCTGGAGAAGAATGATGTGTCACAAAAAGCGCCTCACCTGAGGGGATGTGACTCTTGCAAAAGGCTTTCCAACCTCAGATTAAGATCTCCTCCTATAACAGGGGCAGATCTTGGAGGGATGGGGACTTTTTGGAGTGTAACTCCTAGCATCCCCCGGCCAGCATCATCCCTGGCTGCAAAGTAAATGGTATCCTAAGCTCTTAGCTGGACGAAGTCAATGATGTTCTAAGCTCTGAGCATGTGGTTTCTCATATGTTATTACACTACGCCTCCCATCTGCCTAGACAGAGGTGAGGGGTGATGGGAGTTGCAGTTGAGGGATATGTTCTCCATCCCTAATGTATCCACGCACTCCCTGGTATGGTTTTTAACACCTTTGCCTAAAACCTAGTGGGGCTTTGAAAGCTTGCAACATGTATTTTATGCATTTTGGTTGGCCCAATAAAGGTATCACTGTTTGGTGGATTTTGGATGTTATTGTTCAGTACATCCCTCATGTATTACTGATACAGTCCAATGACACTATGGACTTTTTGGGCAAGTGCCATGGCTCGCTGCCGCAATGCCAGTCCTGATGCCCTCCGCCCCAAGCCCAGCTCTTGAGACGCTTTTACCATTTCCCAACATGAAGGGCTGTAGCTTGAATGTAAAGGATGAAACAACAGCCCTGCGAGGTAGAACTTCCACCACTTCAGGCAAGGGTAGGACATTTCCAGACCTTACAGGAGGTTCCTGGGTTTCTGCAAGAGGCAAAACGTTGCCTATGCTGCTTCCAAGAATCCCAAAACCAATGAGTAGCAACACTGAGCAACAACGATCAAGTAGTTAGATGCCAGATTTAGAACTGAAAGTTATTCCTAGGAATCCAGGCACAAACACTGCTAGGTGGAGGCATTTTACAAGGGTCAAATGATTTAATAAGGGTTATTAGGGGAAATATTACAAAGACCCATTCATGAATATATGTAGTTGTTGCGTGCCTTTCTGACACATTTCTGACTTATGACGACCCTAAGATCATAAGAGTTTTCTGGGGCTGAGAGTGTGTGACTTGCCCAAGGTCACCCCATGGGTTTCCATGTCCGAGCAAGTAATTGAACCTTAATCTTCAGAGTCATAGTCCAATACTCAAACTACTACACCACTGAATATATTTGTTGTTGCTGTTGTTTCCGACTTAATGGTGACCCTAAGGTGAGCCTGTCACAGGTTTTTTTTGGCAAGTTTCTTCAGAGGGTTTGCCATTGCCATCCTCTGAGGCTGAGAGAGTGTGTACATGGCCAGCGGAGGGTGGATTTGAGCCAGGTTTTAGGTGGGAGGCAGCATCGGCCGCAAATTGCGTGCGATAGAACCCGGCTGCATCCCGGAAGAGAATTCAAACTGGCAGAGGTAAGTCACTTTTATTAATATTGCGATCATCTCCAAGGTCTCCCAACACCACAATTAGATGTGTATTTTTCTTAAATTGGAATTAATATGGGAGAGATTGATGCAGAATGCATAGTCCCATGTGCAACTCGGCAGCCTCACATTGTGTGAAGATTCATAACCTCTAGTTGTTCCAATCGATCTGTTGTGCCACTTTTGCAACCGCTTTTAAATTGTCCCAGTTTCTCTTCTTCCTCCCATTTGTCCTTGGCTGGCTTCAGTTTCTGCAAACTGAGTTCCAAGTCTAGAAATAGTTTTGAACTCAGTTAACTCAACCGGAGGAAAGGAAATGGAGGAGCCTTTCCCTTCCCAGTAGGCTCCGAGAAAAGCAAACTGCGGCAGTCTCTGCTAGTTTGTCTGTTCTTC